TTTTCTTTCTCAAATGAAATTCATTCATATCCCCTAGTCAGGAAGAGGTTGTTAAGTCACTTAAACTGTCTCCTCAGTCTGGAAGGGGCAGCTGCAACATTTTCTGCGTCCTTGCTCAACAGCATTCTGCCAACACATGACTAACACATCTGATAAGCACAAAGAAGAGCTATTCCCAAAGGAGTGGAAGTAACTGCAGAGTATTTATGCAGTAAATACTCAGCTCAAACACCTTTCTCCTTTTAGTCAGCCAAATTATAAAAAACAGAAATCAGAGTTGCCTTGATTTACCTTTTGATGGGAAACGTCAGAACAGGGAATGGAGTCGGGACTGGTGTGCAGTGCCTAGGCTGCCTACCTGGTTCTGCAGAGGCAGCGGGGAGCCTTTCCTCCGCCCACTTGCTGCCCCGCTTCACTTCTGGGGCATTTTTGCTTTCCTTGGAAACAGCCACTAACCATAGCCCGCTCTGGATGACAGACTGGTGCCTACAGAACTAAAAACTAAGGTTCAGTCGGGAAGTTGGCAAGGATTTTTCTCCTCCGATTAGTTTGGCAGAGACTACCAGGATGCCAGGTCTGTTTTTCGTTCTTTAGATGAGGCCAGCTTCCTCCTGTCACCTGGCAAGCCCTCCAAAAGCCCTGCTATTGCCGAGAACTGCAGACATTGCCAAATACCTTCCATCTCTCCCGCTTCTTTCCCTGTGGTACAATGTTAAGTTTTGTCTCACATTTTTGTAGGAAAGGTATTGGTTCTGCAGTAGATGTTAAAATATTTGTTGTGGCTGGCAGTTCACACACAGAGGCGCAAAGATAACCAGGGTGGACGAGGTGGCTGGTGCACRGTCATGGCTGTGGGGGATTAGCTCTGATACCAATCTCTCAGTTTGCAGACCTGCCTCTACTGCAATAAGAAGCACCTTCCCTTCYGCACACAATTTTAGCCTCAACAAGTCTGTGATAAAATCTTCATTCTTTAAAGGACAAAATACACATTCTGCTAAGCTCTGCACCAGCTCAGCTMTCTAGTTTTCTGCAGTTACAGGAATAAAAAATCCCATTATTTAACCCATTAATGGGTTAAATGTCCCATTTAAAGAGCATCATCTTCCTTCTCCTCCTCCTCCTGCARGGGAGTGGGAGCAAGTTGGAAAGGGGAGTTTATGTCCCCTCTTGTTGCAGCATTGCTCAAGTTACAGCGCTAGAGCTAATACCTGGGATATTTTTCTCTCAGTGTACACACTGTATTCAGAACAAGAGGACATAAGATACAAATTCATATGTGAGGGTCACATCTTGAGCTGAACTAGACTGGCAGCACTGCTTGAAATCATGAAGTCTGCAGGATTAATAGTCCCTAGTGACCCTTTGGTTGCCAGATGGGGTGGCTGCTGGTACCTCTCCTTAGAGCCTTCCTCCCACATCCGTTTTCCTCCTGGACAAACACAACCTGGCCTTAGCAGCTGGGCTGCTGCACAGACAGCRACTGTAGTAACAACAAAAGGGATCTGCAGGTCATTCACTACCCTTTTAGCTGCTTGCTTGGCATACCAGAAAGATGCAGGAAGTAATATTTTGACCACCTATCAACTTGCCATCTGTTTTCTCAAAAGAATTCAATGCGAGTCCTTCTGAAGAGCAGAGCGAACACTTGCTCCAGGATAAATAAAAATCAACTCTATAAACCTCTTATTCACTACTTCATTAGCCAAGTGTGACGTGTCTGCAGATTACAATAGTTCTTTAAAACCCTCTTCATGCTTCTGTTAGGATTTCAATTTCTCCTGTGAAACTGCACATCTAGCAGGAAAAAGGCACTCTTCCAAGGCAGCGCACTTTTCGGGTCATGTAGGACAGAGTTTTGCAAGGCTCATATCAAACCAGAGTCCAAACTTGTCAGTGCTGATACAGAACAGTGTAGTGTGAATGAGTCACCATCATGAGGAAGAGACAACCAAAAAGGAGCTCATAGTTGAACCCTAGCAAGTTGATCTCTTCTTTGGCACTCACTCATTTAATGTGTTGCTTCACACTAAGCCAGTGCCACACAACCTCTTTTTGGTCTCTGCGTAGCTTTGTTTTTTTCATGTCTATGTACTCCTTTTAAATGTTTCTTTACCCRTACAGTTGCATGTGCAACTGAGTCACTCTCTGAGTTACTGAGTTACTCTCTCAAGCTTGATGAATGAGGTCTAATCTAGAAGGAAAATATTATATGTTYAGGGACCTCAGAGTGTATCCCCATGTCATTTCTATCCCATCTGAAGAACTATTATGGTTCCAATGCACCCTGATAACACATTTTAYACATGATTTGCAAGTGGCTGAATGCCCCCTGGGGGTGTTTTTCTGTTCCCAGGATTAAGAGGAGAAAATTACACAGCTGCYGTGCCTGGGCTTCCTCAGACATGCGAGGGAAAAGTTAAACAGGACTTATTCTAATAAGTTMTATGTAACTTTGGCCAACCCCTAGTCAGAGAAATACCTCCATAAGGAGCACAGCGCGGTGCCCTGGGCGGGTGACACACGTGGCACATGCAGGGATTTCTCTCTGGAAGGCCCTGCTGCTCCCTCCACGTGCACTAGCTTCCAGCCAAAACCTCTCCCTGCTCCTGGCCAGCGTGCCAAGGATCTGGACATCTCCCATGGAACTGGCTGGGAAGACACATGGGATGGGCAGCCTGCAGGTGCTGGTGGCAGCCCCCRCTGGTGAAAGGCTGCGGTGATTATTTTGCCCCGCTTTGCCCAAATCAGTTAATGGGCATCAACTCCAGTGTTTATCTTTTAGTGTCAGAGCCCTCTCTTTGGAAAAGAGCTTGCACTGTTAGGCACAATCTGCTATTTTAAACAAGCTTTTACATTAAATTCAGAGCAGAACAACTGCTTCATTAGTTTTTCCATCTGTTCTGTTGAAGCTCATTGGCGTCCATGTAACGTTTAAGTTTTATATGAACCCAAAATGCCAAAAGTTAAACTGAGCTCAGCTCTATAGTGATTTGCAACCCAACAAGGGATAATGAAATTGCCTCAGATTTGGTAGGACAGGTTGGGATGCTGGTGTCTGTTATACTATCATTTTTCACCACGGAAAAAGAGGGAATACTGGGACATAGGATCTTCCAAACGCGCTAACATGTGTTGGAAGCACCCATGGCACCACTCACCCATGCTAGGCTCAGTTCCAGTGTAGGTTTTCTTTTTTTCCCCACGTTCCTCCCCCGCCCCCCCAAAAGGCACCTACTCAATTTACAAAAAATAAATTGTTCCATCTTCYTGATAATAACAGGATGCAGGAATCAGAGTGAAGGCGAATTCTTTGTTTCTTGTATTGCATTTCTGGGTCACGGTAAACACTGCCTAACCTTTGCTGCCTCCCAAAGCTTCCTCCTGTCTGCTTTTCTTGGAATACACGGCCAAGCTCAAGCCGTTTCTTGCTCTGGGCCTGGCCTTTGGCAGTTTGGTTTAGTCTATTCCTTTCTGCTTCAAGCCAGTACCCATAAAAAACACTTTGCCAATACAGGTGATTCTGACCACCCCTTTATATAGCCAAAATGGTATTTGAAAGAAAATCTATCACCTATTTCCTTAGYGCTACAGCAAAACTCCGTCAATCCTGATTGCAAGAAACGTAACAGGTCTCTCTCCTGGCGCAAACAGCTGGCGGTGGCCACCACGACCTGCAGGCACAAGCACATCTGAAACAGCTGCATCTCCTCCACATTGTGGCCAACTGTTAAAAGACAATTAAGGGAGCTAAATGGAAGAATCCCTCACAGAAGACGTTCAGCCTTAATTGTCAGCAATTCTTTAAGCCCAAGCAGCAGGTAGGCTGCTAGGGAAGCACTAGGACTGCTCGATGGCAAAGCAATAGAAGGGCACTCCAGAACGAGAGGCCAAGAGAAGCTCGGTGAAGTCCTCACTAATAAAGGTTTCCACATCCAACGCGCTCTTTGCAGCACCTAGGGTCAGGGCAGCCGTGTTCATTTTATGTAAAGGTACAAGCGGAATTAACCTAAACAGATAAATGAGATATTGGGAAGTCACCACGACTGGATGGCTTTCCTCCACGAGCTCTGGAAAAACTAAAAGATGGAAAAGGCTGAACAGGTAGCAAAGTGTGTGTGTGCATCACGCTCCCTGCTGCCCCTCTCTCCTCCCCCAAAGGGGCTCCGGGGGGGATCCCACAAACGAGAGCCTGCCGAGCCCCAGCAAGAGGGAAGAACCTGGAATAAAGAACAAGACTTAGGAGCTCACAGAGAGCCAGGGAATTAACATAGTTTCTGCCAAGAAAAATCCTGCCTCGCTAACGAGCCGGTGCCCTTGGAAGGGTCAAGGAGCAGGAAGATAAAGGTAATAAATACCTGGGATTTTCACAAAGCCTTTCATGATGTTAAGCACCTGAAGTTAGAGAAGAAGGTGAAGTTGCTAAAGGGCTAGATGAGGGAATCTACTACAGATTGAAAGCTAGGCAAAAGGTAGGAAGAAAAGCATAGGATTTAATAGGTAAATTATAAACACACAAAAAAATCCATTAACAAGATAGTGACAAGAGACTGATTCATCAGTCAAAAGGAACTTAGCTGTCAAACAGAACAGACATATTTAGTGTTATGAGAATTTTTAAGAGCTGTTTATCAGCTAAAATGAGAGCAAGAGAGCCCTGAGTTTTTATTTCCCACATTGTCATTAATATAAGCAGTTCAGTATCTCTGGAAGTAGAACAAGTTTGATGTCAATCACTATATGAAGATGTTAAGYTTTTCTGAATTAACTACTAGCTTTATTTCCATGTTACATTTCATGCACTGACAGAGAACCAGCACAATAAATACAAGGAAAAAAAAAAGAGGAAAACATTTTATTTGTATTGAGATAAATGGAGCTCAGTCTCATTTAGATAAAAGAAATGGAGAACAACTGATTTAATCAAGTTTCCTAGAATTTATAAAAATCATACTTATCGCACCAATAGATGATTGAATTTCCTATGTCCAAACATCCTTTCTCTTTCTTGTTTCAGACTTGGCACAATTTTTTATTACCCAATACCACATTTCATATCTGTACTCATTAAAATGTCGTATTACCTACGTAAACATCTGCTGCATGTGTAAACTTCAAAGAGTAAATGGGAAAGCCTAATAATTTACCCTCAAAAAGTCAGGTAATCACCAAGTAACAAATCAGTTACAGCATAATCTATATAATACTGTTTCAACAAGAACAGAAGCCTGTTGAATCCATAACAAAAAGGAAGTCGAAAGAAAAAGCCTATGTGCAGTTTCATGCATTAGTGTAATGACGTTGTAAGGCATCAAAAAGGTAAATATGTTAAGTATGGTTTTTAGAAGTATACTCATAGACAAAAAAGAAAACTTAAAGGCTGTACTTCAGTCAGTTCATTCTGGAAGTGTTTGGTTTCTCTAGAGCTCAAGCTAAAAATATTAATTTTGGAATATATTCATCTTAGGTTTTTTTCCTGATAACAGATACTTTTGTCAAAAAATACAACACATGAATTCTAAATTTTGTATAGTAACACTTTTTTTGTTTGTTGTTACTTTTTTCCTATTCAAATTCTTTACGTAGAGAGTAAGAAAAAATCTGCTCCCAAAGAATCAAGTAGGGTGAAAGCGAATAAGAAATACTTGAAACTAAATAGTCCTAGAACAACAACACATAAACAAAAAATGACCATTGCAGATTTTTTTTTTTTTGCTGCTACTTTGTCCATTTCTTGCTCAAACTGTAAGTAAACAAAAGTAGTCATATGGCAGTCTAGAAAACCTGGTGTCACCAAAGATTTCCTTTATTGTTCAATGTGCCATTCTAGTGCAAAGCAGAATCAGCCTCATCCACTTAAAAAGGAAGGAGAATTCACATTTCAACGTTGTTACAATTGTTTTCATGGCAATTAGTATCACAGTAACCAAAATGACTGCTCTTTTTTCTCCAATTATTATCTAATTTAATCTACTACCCGTCTCTTTTACACACTGCAGTTTACATTAAAACATTGCTGATAACGGAAGCTTTTCTTTGAAAACAACACTGCTTTAAATTTAGTCAGGCAGCTTGTGCATATCAGAGCATTCTGTCAAGAGAGACATGAAAAAGGGTGAAGGAGAAAAAGACAAAATTTGGCTCCAGCTTCTCTGTGCCTTTGATTCACAGCAAAAGCTCAGGCAGCACTAGAGACAGCAAGTTTCTTCAGATGATCCATAAATACTTGCAAGCTGACATCATCTGTAAGAATGGGTGCTCCAGACTCCTACAGAAGTGAAAAACAAAACAAGGAACATGATTTATACTTACTGTAAAGAAAAGCATTTCCAACAGATCAACACTAAGTTAAAAAATACCTTAGAAAYATCATTGCTAGCATAGACATAAAACAGGCTACTGCAAATTTACATACATTTCCATATACTTACATAAATTCAGGCATAAACCACCACTACATTCTTTCACCTGTCACTGCAGACTGCAGTAAATCCCAGTGTGGTGAGACAATCATACAAACCCAGAGCTTTGACAGCTGCCAAATGCTGACACTAGCATTTTCAACCGAGAATAAAGTGAATAAAACTCCCATGCAGCAACTCTCATCGGTATCACAGTGGAGCATGACAAGGAAGAGAGAAACAGAAATATGCCAGTGACACAACCAGTAAATCCTCATCTGTCACTGAAGCCCATGCTTATCCAAATGGCAAATTGTAACTGGTCTGATCTGACACTGACTGAAGGTCAACTGTTTTTTCCAGGAAGCTGGGCCAGTTCTTTCCTGCAGCTCTGTGCCACTTCAAAGAACYACAAAACCATCTTCTGAAGAGTATACACTACAAAATCAGATCCTAAAAGATGAAAATCTTTTTTGGGGAGATTAGGGAGATTTTTGCAATTTACTTTTTCACCTCAGAAGGTTCTCTTTTACTATTATTTTAAAGCAAATTCCCAGCCTAAATCACACAGCAGAGCTGGTGATTGTGCAAATGTCAGATAGCAACTCTCTCAAGACCTCTGAAGTAAATCTGTGATTACTTCCTTTTACAGATATAAAACGAGCTCCAGTAAACTCAACAAATCAATCACTTCAAATGTACTAAGCACCCACAATTCCAAATGAAATCACTGCTGTCTGAGCCTTTACCAAACCTTTCAAAACAAACAGGAAAGTCTTAGTGAGGAGGCTCTAATCGAGCGCTCCTTTTGAGAACCAACAGGAAACAGATAATGATCAAGGRACCAATCCAGGAGCTCTAGGAGTTCTTGCTTCACTCCATTACGCTCAACACACTATGCAGCCTATGTTAGGAATGACTCATTAAATGGGGTCTGTCTATCAACTGTTGGTGACAGGGTAAGAATAAAGCACCTTCTCCTTCCAAGCCTGCCAAGTCTGGACTCTCCTCACTTAAAAAGCAGCCAGRGAATTGCAAGTAGCTTTTTGGGGGGGGCAGATATGACTCACCAGCTTGTATCTAAGCAAAGAAAGGGCACACATCAGCCCCTAGCTAATTCACAGCTCTTACCCTCGAGGGAAGGAGCCCTGCACAGTCACCACTGGTGTGGTAACCCAGGGTACCTACAGGAACAGCTCTGCCCCCGAGGCTGACCACCACCTCCAGAGGCAGCTTCTCTCCCCGGCAGCACGGGCTTCACTCCGGACATGTGGAAGGCCTCACTGCACTGCACAGGCCTGCCCAGTATTTTATTTGCCAGAGAATAAAGCAAAACCACAGCAAGGTCTTGTGGCACGATGTATAGTTGCACAGCTCACCAAAACCGTTATTTTCTGTTCAAAAATAGCTTATTGTAAGACCTCAAATTCTCCAATTAAGGCATATAGTTAAAATTTAAATTTAATTAACAACAACTTAATGCTAGCTGGTTAGGCACCTGGTAAGATTTGTGCCATTGACCTCCTCTTTCATTTTAAATTGTAAATTCCCCATAGATCAAGACAAGATAAAAACAAATAAACAGCTGGAAAACCAGCAAGCTCAAATAAGTAACTTCAAAGCCTATCAATACAAGCTTTCAAAGTGAACAGAATGTGTATGAAACTGTATGACAAAAAGTTACCATTATTTTCTGAAAACCTCTTAAATACAAGGCACTTATCTGCTGAAATGAAAAAAAAAATCTATATATAATATTAAAAACAAAACAAATCAGCTCATCACCTCCTGAAATATATTTTCAGTGATTTGCCAGTGCCCCCTCCTGGTCAGTGTGGACTAGCAATGTTTTCTAGAAATTCAAATTCCACTAAAGTCACATAAAGTTACAGGAAACAATCCAAGAAGCTCAGAAGAAAAATGAGCTTTTTTTAAACAGTTTAAAATTTTCTCCCCAGAATAATACTCCTGTAATTTTTATTTGGTTCAACTTTATTTACACAAAAGCAGTAGTCTATTATGTTGAGTACAAACACGACTGTCACTGGAAAGGATATCTGTTTCATTTAAGTAAGCAGATACACATTATGAGAAATCTTAATATTTCAAAAACGTATGTAATGTAGAAATCTATGTAATGTTTGGATAAAAACAAAATGTTTCAAACTGTGGGGTTTATTTGAGCGTGTCTTGTGTACCTTAACAGGACAAAGACAGACAGATAAACAGACTGCAGGTTAAGATTTTGACTTTGGAGGAAGGAGAGCCAGGTACAAACTCCCTTAAMCTGACTCAGTGTAAGCTGCTCAAGTATTTCCACTCAAACTCAGCACTCTTTCCTGAAAAGAAAGTTTCACCGAATCTGTACAAAAATGTACCCKGATAAACCTTAGCTGACAAAAAATCCTGTAATAAACTTGCTGCAAAGCTCTGCTTATTAATGACTTAATTACTGTAGGCTCTTTTGCAAAACACAGTTGACATACAGGTCCAGAAACTGCTGCATTTGTATGTCAGATGCAATCACATTTGCACGACAAAATTAGCCTGCAATAGTGTTTGCACCCACAGCAGTGTTTCCTCTTCTGCTATAAAAGCTGAACTTGGAAAGAGAGCATGGAACTGAGATGCAATAGTGAAAAACATAAGATGCTGCAGAGTTTATTTTATGAGCTCATATACAACCCTCCTCCTAGCAATAACCTTTGAAAAGCTAAATCCTCATCACGAGGGGRAAAAAAGCTTCACTAGTCTTTTGGGAAGTACCTCACTCCAAAGAATTTGAAAGTAGCTAAGACAGATGTCTAGATGAAAATAGACAAACTGAAGCTAAAAGCAGCAGACTCTAACATTTTTTTAAGAAAAAATGAAAATCATTCTTTTAATCTTAGTTTCTGATGGAATCAGGCCAATACTGCATTTCTTTTCCAGCTTCAACATTTGATATTATTACTTATACATACACAAAATGTCTCAGGTGATTTCTGAAATACAAGTAATAGAAAACAAAAACATTTCATGCAYGGAAGCTTCACCAGCAGATTCACACTTACCTGTCCCCATGCATACATATTGTTATGAGTCTGAGATGGATTTACTTTTGAAAGCAGGAAACGAGCCTTAAAAAGCAAACAAACAGACAATTCATTAATCTTTTTTTTCAAAAAAAATACAGGATATATGAACTAKGCAAACAGGAACCGTTAGGTATCCAGCTATGTCGAAGTTTTAAACTTCCAGATGTTAACATACAATTTACATACATTTTAACATAGAAATGCAAGTTTGCTATATAGTGTGTCTAAGTATTATTAAACATCATTCCTAGACTATATACTACACATTTTACCATACCTGGCTTCCTCCATGCTCTGTATCAATGTATCTGGGCATTGGGAATCTGGAATGGAGAATTTCCTGAGCATCGTCTATTGGAGCTTGCAGCAAGTGATGGAAGTTCTCATATTCTGGCATGTCTTGGTAACCTGATTTACGCCACTGGGCTATAGTCTGGAGACGGGAGGAGGAAGGAAATACAGGATTGATTCACTGATCATTCCTAGTGAATAAAGCTTTTTTTAAAAAAATAGTATGTCATGGCTGACCTCTTCTCTAACTCTCATTCCTTTCTACTCTATAGAATGTAAGTTAATTTTGTTTTTAGATCCTCTGTAAATGTGGGCTCTAACAGGATGCTGGCTGCTCAAGAAGAGCTGATGGGAGGGAGCCTCAGGTAGGGTTCCCTTCTTTGGCTGGTGAGCTGCTGGAAGCTGCAGCTCTCAAGCTTGACCCCTGCTTTGAGCTGCACTGCAGCAGCAGCACCTGGCCATGTACCCCACTGCTCTGGTGCCTGGCCTGCAGACTGACTTCCTAGCCCGAGCTCAGACCTGTCTCACCTCTGTGCGCTCCCCTGCCTATTGCTGGGCTGTGGCCAACTCCTGCAGCTCCCTCCACACCTGATCCTGACCTTAACCTGCTGACTCGAGTCCCTGAGGCTTGACCTCAGTCCTGCCTCCTCCACACGGACCCATCTGACGACTACACTGGTGGCTGAAGTGTCTCCATGGGGCTGGCCCTGCTTGGGTCCGCGCCACGGGGCCACGGTCGCTCCCTTGCCAGGCTTGTTATGTGCCCAGCTCCTGGTGCCACTACCCTTAGGGAGAGTCTGTCCCTGCTGCTCCCTGGCARCACCTTACCAAGTACAGAGAACATTTTCCTATTTTAAAAGCTGCTAAAGTTTAGTAACTGCTTTAAAAAAATGCTGCCAGGAGGAAGGAGGCCATGATCCAGAAGAATATTTCTCGGACTCTTAGCAAGCGACCCTTAGGGGCTGTGGAGCAGTAAAAAGGAACAGCTCAATTCCTCCAGGGAAGCACAGCAAGTCATAAGCATTTATATTACCAGGAAATATCAACCTACTCAACTGCCAGAAGCAGCTTAGTTCCTCTAGGACGGTGCAGATGAAGGGTGACTGTAATACATGGTGCTCTCCCTCTCCTATCCCCAAAGGACTAATCTGCTGTGAATCCAGAGGCCTAAAACAAGTGCATGAAAAATGGCAGCAGGAAGGTGGAGAATTGTAAAAGAGCATCTAAGATGTTGGAAAAATATTGGTCTAAAACAAATAATCTCATACTGAAGTCAACTGATCTTAAACTTACCATTAAAAAAAGGACCAAAATAGCAAGTAATGCCAGGGACCTGTGTACAGGCCATGTTATTAGGCTACAATTGCTAATTAGGAAACCTTTTAAGTCTACCAGTACCAACCATGCAGATGAGGCCAAGCACTGGAAGACTTTTTACAACCAAGGCTTTACTTCCTTAACAAAGTTTTATTACAGAAAATAAAATGGAATATTTATATAAGAAATGATTAACCTTACCTCTCCATGATAAATAAGGATCTGGAAAAAGGTGTCCATAAGAAGAATGCGATCTGGTAAAATACTGCTGCTATCTAGAAGAACAGGCTAAAAGAAAAGTAAAAATAGAAGTAAAAATTCATCAACCGATGCAGAACTGAGTAATCACAGGGCATTACAGGTTCTCTCAGTCACTGGCTCTTCGGAACTTCTAAAATCACTCTGAAGTCTCCTGTTTGTTCCATTTCAAGTTATATATCTGAAACCCACCCAATCTCATTCTCAAGTTATCCAGCTCGATTCTGAATGCTAATTTCATGAGTGATAAAAATGGATTCCATAAGCCTAGAGCTATTTCCTTATTATGCACTTTTACAGTCCTTCAAGGACCCCCATTTTTACCCATCCAATGATATTAACTCTAATGATACTTGAATGCCTCAATATTCAGTAGTTATTATATGGACATATATATATATATATGGATATATATATGGATATATATGGATAATATATATTTTATATATATTATATTCAGTAGTAGTTATATGGGAATTTTTTTTCTTTTCCTTTCAGTCTTTTCCTTGCAGTTACTATTACTCTGTGTGTATGGCTGTGTCTATACCCACATACACACATGTATGTGTGTGTGATATATATGCACACAGAGTGTATGTGTGTATACACTATGTATATATATACACACACACACACATATATATACACACACTCACATATATAAATATATATAATAATACTCATGAGTTTTAATGTAGTACATCAATCTGCAATGCTGTAGTTTATCTAAATGTGGTGATAATATTAGTCCCATATGGTTTAACTGGATCAGTACCTTATGACCTATTTTGATCAATCATATTAAAGACACTCAAAATAAACATCACTACAACTGGGAAAACAAAACATTGAATTATTATTCATTTTAGACTAACATGGCAGCTTCTCTTTCGATCAGGTGGAGTTTGATCATGTTTCTAACACTCACATAACTTATTCATGCAGAGAATGGCTCTCACACTTGTTAGCAGTTCTCAAACTACTTCATTACTTTAATTAAGATTTCACTTTAAAATCTCTTCTTTCCTGCCATGATACTGCCTGTTTTTTTTTCCTTTTTCTACGAGTTAGGGTTGCAGTGTGACAAGACCCTGATTACTATGATAATTTTCATGGTCTCACAGTTTCCCCATTCTCTTTCATCTATCAAATTAATTTTGCAGTCTTCTATGTTACATTTCTGTTACACACTTTTTAAGATTAATCCAGGCTATGCAGACTGCACCATGATAAGGTCAAGTGCAAGGTTTTGTAACAAACCTATACATTCTGGTAACCATGCCAAAATCAGAAGACAATGCTTTCTGGATAAGGTTACTAGGGGGAAAAGAATTTTTTACAATTCCAAAAACATTTCTTTTGAAGTCCACTGAAAAAGCACATTTTGAAGTAAAAACATTTTTTTTTATCATATTTTACATTCTGGCACCTAGTAATTTCAACAAAGTAAAGACCAGATTCTCTTAACCTGCAATTATGTTACAAGGAACGTTACCTCTGGAGGTCCATTGAAGGAGTAGGCATAGAGAATTGGCTGAACCATGATAAGAGATTGCGTTAAATCCTGACGCATAAAATGATGACGATAGTATGAGCTCTCATCTGGACTGTTGTTAAAAACTTGCAAGAAAGGAGACCTTCTCAAGTGAAACATGAACTGAAAAAAAATATATATATATATATAGAGAGAGAGAGAGAGAGAGAGAGAGAGAGAGAGAACAAAGAGAGAAAATGTTTTTCACAAAAAGAAATCGGACGAGACTAATGCCACTGCAAAACTGAACTTCGAGTCCTTTAACACTTCTAACTTGTGTAGGCAGCTTTCTCAGATACACAAATATACACATATACAGAGAGAAACAGACACACACACACATACACACACCTAAGAATGGCCAGAAGTTTAACAATTCTTCTTCTCCAGTACTAACTGATGAAAGAGTACACCTGAATATTGCTAAAACCATATTGCAAGTTGCACCGTTCCTGTGAGACCACTTCACTTAAACACAAAACGTTAGAGCAAGTTAACAGCTTGAATAATAATAACCACAGCAAAGCTGACCTGGGGACTTTTCAGTCTGTTATCTAGTACAAAGCATTACTTTACTTTGTGATACAATACCTCTTTATTTAAAGAGCATTTGTTCTTTGTTATAGACACAGCTTCCTTCTACTCACCTGCGGATAAAGTGAAAAGGTTTCTGAAAATCTGAAAGAGCTTGGATCATCCTTATGATATTCTCCAAATTTCTGACACTGAAACAAAAGAAAAATATGTCTAAATTAGGAAATACAGTGTGTTGTTTACACTGTTAACTGTAAGTTTGTTTTTATAATATATGCTGATGCCTTTGTAATAAAATAGAAATCTAAGAAAGAAGATCTGACATAAGCACTTTCATTAACAAGTAGTGTTTCTTCACATTTCAGTTTTATTGGCTTTTTCTTTTCTCTTTAAAAATCACCATGAAAAAGTTCCGTGATTAAATATCCCCTGACAAGTTTAAAACTAATTGTATAACTAGCTACTTACATATGAGAAATGTCTCAACTGACTTAAACTGACTTAAAATTGACTTAAAAAAAAAGAAAATCAATATGCCTTTTTTTTATTCTAAAAATGTTACTCACAATATCATTATAGACAGTTGAAATAAAGGTTGAATTTCTATAAACCTCATACTAGATTTTCTCTYAGAAGCTGACAATGACAAGAAGCTGAAAACTGAGACATTAACTAACTAAAACCACTGCTGCTCTTCTGCCCTGGCARACAGGAATTCTTGGGTCACTCTGTCTATCCACTTGTGAAAATTGGCATTCAATCCTCTACTACTTTAGTAACAACCACTGAACACAAATCATTAATCAACGATTTGTCCAGAAACAAGAAAACAATTCAACTCTTAATATAGTCCTGTTTACCAGGCGTATAAGTTGTCTGTCCAACCACCTCAGCACGTCAGGCCCTTCCTCTGTTTCTGCCCTATACACGGCCAATCTGGCCATGAGAATGGCAGCAGCTTCCTGGTCAAAGGATGCAGCAATGTTCTGGATCTGTGTCTGTGCGTCTGCCCAGCTGCAAAAGAAAAACACTTGTGATCACCTCATAGTGAAAAGGAAAGGGGCCCAAGTTAAAAATGCCCCTCAAGAAGAAGGCAGAGAAAACAGCATTCACATTTTCGCAAACTCATGCTGGAATTACAAAAAATGTACTGGGGATAGATAAACAGTCTCTCAGACGCAACATCCCATATTTACAACATCCCATATTCTTGAGATGCCTCTTATTTGTATGCAGACGCCATGCAACCAGTGAAATAAAATACAAGGTCACTTAAAAATACATTAAAAATGGTAATGTACAAAAAAGTCTAGTTAGAGAAAACACTATTCAGGAAGTTAACCACAAATACACTTTGCAGACTAATGATTTTCTTGCACCCCTCTTTTGGGATCTAAATGCTTGTTCTCTTCACATGCAAGGTGTGCTATTACTCTATCCCTTCATCAGTGATCAAGAAAGTTTTAGTAATACAGTGAACACAAGTTAAGAGGATACTCATATCAACAGTAAGGGCAAAATGTTTTAGGCTAAGTGGACTTTTTAATTAAACTAAACCACTCAATCTCCTTGAGCTTGAAAAACTAACTGAAAAATGCCTCCCTAATACACTTACTAAACTTGCTTAAACTTACAATTTACTGAAGTAAATTGAATCAAGGAAGCTTCAGGTAAGGTTTATACATGAAAGAACAGCTATACATGACACCTRAACTGCAGCTAACACAGCTTAAGATATGAAGTAATCTCTGTTATTCTCCAAGTCTGACCATCTCCTCAGTTTAGGCCACAGAATTTCCATGCAGTGTCTCCTCTTCATCTGTAACCACTTGGGTTACTTCACACCATTCTCCCAGCATTAACACACAGCCATTAATCCTCTTGGAAAGGAAACAAGTCATGGAACAAGAGCARCAGCATCACAGGTAGGGTCCTGCCTTCTCCACCTGTGGCACTATGTATGTGGACRTATAGATTAAATAGCAAGTATGTACAATATTCATTTCAAAAATAAATCATCACAAACAAAGCCTACTTTCTGGCAACTGTTGTCACCCTGATACGCCTCTGTCCACTAGAATGCTGGTACTGAGTCACAAACTGGATTGCACCACGTCCTCCCTGAGGAATCGGAGCATTGTGCTAAATGTGGGAAGAAAAATAAATAAACTTAGTGGGAATCTCAAGATTTTATCCTATAATTAGAAAATGTAGAAAGGAATGATTAAACAATCTCTCAACAGTAGGCAGTTCAAATTCTGAATAAATGCATTCTCCAGCATTTTATCGTGCTAAGTATCTTTGTTAAACAATGCTAAAACTCAGACATGTTACTTTCAAAGGGATTATGTTTCAATTGCTGATTTGGTTACATTCTATTTGAATGGCACGTAATATACTACATTACAGGATAACAACACTGATATGACTCAAATGTTGATTAACAAATCCCATGAAGTTCCATTGAAACTTAAAAGTTTAGAATCTAGAAGCAAACTAGAACTCTGGGCAGTAGAAATACAGGTTTAAATACTCCCAACAAGGTAAGTAATTTCAAAAGAGAAGGTTGAAATCAACTAGGAAGCATCCTCATAACTCCAGTTTTTGGACAGAGCTATAAAATGAGACTTAAACAAATCCACGAAAAGTAAAATTAAATTAAAAAAAAAAAAAAAGTAGGTCACAAGTTAAAACCTATAGGTTTCAACAAAATACACCACACAGCAAACTGAATACAAAGAAACTACATCCAGCTCACAAAGTCCAGAGTTGCAAATGCTGGGAGAAAGAGAAAGTAGTAGCTCAGAGTAGCACACTGTTTTTATCCTCTTCCCTGGTATCTCCCATGAGAGACAAGATATGTTACACAATATCTTGGATGGGTTTTAATACAGCCAGTGTTCGTTTAAAAACACTGACCCAKAATAGCATAAATTAACATCTAACATTACACAGTGATTATCCTGCTTAGTAAAATGCCAGAAGGCATTAAAGGCAATCTCTGCCTTTAAGTATACAAATTATGTTATTCTCAGATATAATAACTGCATTTCATTTTAATTACCAATAAACTGAAAAGGTCTGGATACAGATTATGAATTTATCCAAAGTCCACAGAATGTTTTCTCATTATCAYATTCCTTAAGAAAGAGATTATTCTACCATGAAACTGTTAATGTCCATCTCCTAMACTCTGACAAATGAGACTCTAAACTTTGCAACATGAGAATGGCAACATCATCTATATCCCTAATAATGTGCTTCAGGGAACAACTCAGGCATCAGCMGTCACATAACATTACTTAGAATGTACTTAGAACATATCTGACTAATTACTTGATTAACTTACTAATTTACAAGTTGACTAATACTTGTTACCTGATTGACCACTTCAAAGTACAGGGCAAGCGTGGTAGTGGGATTAAGTCCGCAGATCTTCCACTGGCAAGTACCTCCTGTTCCAATTTCCTGTAAGCACATTTTAGAGAATACTTTTAGAAAAGGGAAGTATTATCTTTTGTGAAGTACAACATCTGGCCATTATACGTAATTATTTTTGACAACTACTGGGTCATTTTCAGCAAAGTTAACTTACATTTTCTGATACACATGGTCCTTTGGAGTTGAGAGACACACAAGGTCCAATAGCTCCGGAAATCTTTACTTCTCTTGAAGTCTTCACATTTAAAAGAAAAACATAAATTAATATGCTACTCCTAGTCATCCTATTCTGGTACTTCACTATCCCACTGCATTTTTTAATCTTACCTTTATTTCTAATGTGCCACCAAATCCCATTTTAAACTGTCCTTGCATATCTTTTGTGAATACTCTCTGAAAGGTTTGTTTGAACAAAGATGTATTGAAAGAATCCCCCATTACCATGTAGCCTCTAGCAAAGAAAAAAAWAAAAMCAAGTTAGAAAAATCCTTATTATGCAGTAATTCAGCAAGCAAGATTTACGAGCTTAGTTAAAAATAAGAACAGGAAGGCAGAAAACAAAGGCAAWTTTTTGTCTTCTTAAAAGTGACTACTCTTTATTTCAACATTAAACCAATATTTAGTAAAAACTTTAGGGGCTGAGTTTATAAATGGGTTTATAAAAGATCACTAGATCCTCCCCAACCAGCATCCTAAGGTCATCCTCAGTTTAATATATATCAACTAACTCCTCATTATCTTGCAAAGYCAGTTAATTACTTCCAATATTTAATATTCCAAAATTATTTCAACACAATTTTATTTTGYTCAGTCCAATAGTTATATCAGGCTTAAATACACCCTAAAACAGTATAACCTCTTTTTATGTTTAGCAATAGTCTGTCCATATAAAACTGCTGTGGTTACATTCATTCTGAAATAACATATACTGTGTTTAAGAAATAATAATGAGATATACTGCCATTACTCATCTCTAAAATATCTGATATTAATAAGAAATTTAGTAGTAAAAGTAGCAGAACCAAAAGGTGAGCCATCAGAGGAGACAAGGGGAAAAATAATACACAGAATTTAGTATAAAGAAAAGCATTGAATTTGGTGCAGAAAATGAATGCAAGTCACACACACGGGTGAAGTATGGTAAATACAGCTCATGAACAGTGAAAACTGACACATTAGGACTATCCAGGTAGCTCTAAAAAGAAGCAACCCAGCAGTGACTCCAACGGCAAAGTCTGCCTGAAATGCAGTGTCACACAATTATCTCAGTTTGCAGCAGCATCTCCCACTCTTCTTGGCATATCTAGATATATAGAATGTGCTTAGCGTCCACTGTTGTATTAAAATATTGACAGGCAGCTAAGAACACCTAAGAACACTCACAGATATACCTGTTATTACACTGACCAGCAAAGATGCTACATTTAAATATAATCAGGCTGGTATTGACAAGGTTAACAGTAAGAGTCCTGAAAAATGAGCTTGGAGAAGAATACATATCTAATATCAAAGCCTAATATAAGAATAAAACGATATATAAAGTAGGTTGCTATAGTAATAAAGATGAGAGTACAGGAAAGACTTTTGGGAAAAGAAAGTACATTCTTGTAAAAACACAGAGGTAGAACTGGCAGGGAAAAACATAAAAGGACATACAAGGAAATGTTCAAAATTATTCTCAGATTATAGATATGCATAAGAGGAGAGGTGAGTGCCTCATCATCAATGACAAAAATAAGGGCCCGGTCTCATTAGAAAATAAATCAAGAAATAAATAAAACAGAATTTCCTTTGATCATACTAAATGAATTGATGGAAAGACAAGATGGAGGGCATACAAGATGCTATGCAAGATGTAGGAACCCGCAACGGTAGTTGAACCTATAAACCACAGTATCTAGAAGAAGGCATAAACAAGACAGAAGGAATAAGTTTGTGCTATCTGAGCAGTAAGGAAAATTGGACATAGGTTCATATTCCTATTCTCTTCACCAAAATTGGAAGCTTATATATACACATAAGCATTGAAGAAAAACAGGATTAAATCGTATTATTTAAGCCTCTAGAGGTTTAAAAAAAAAAAAAAAAACAGTAAAAAGCTGATATGACAAAGCATACAAACAGAGTGATAATCTTGCCAGAGGCTGAGGAATTCTCCTAAAAGCATAAGCTGCCCACTATCACAGCAAACCACTGGAAGATTAAAAACAAAGAACAACTGCACGTTTAACATACAAACATACATACAAGAAACAAGCAGGTACATACCCAGTGTAGTTGGGACAACACTTCATCTCCAGCAGACCCGTCTGATCCAAAGCACATGCATATATGTCAATAACGTGACCATTTGTTGCAGCCCGATTAGCCAGGGCTTCAAAATGCTAAATCCAAGAAAATACAGTTCAGAGCAATTTAGGACGTGAACTCCCTTCATCTCCATATTATATCCTAAAGTCCCGATTTTTTTCTAAAAATCAATCTTAATTCAGATGTATTATAACACAAGAAAAACGCTTTTTTTTTTTCCTTGAAGGTAAAACAAGAACTTGAAGTTTCAGCACTTGTGTTCATTTTCTGCCCAACTGAGAATCTGACTCGCACTAAAAAGACCTATTTGCTATTTGTGTGCTATTTAAACTAGCATATATTTGTTCTTTTCTTTTTAGATTGTGATTAAGGACCAGGTCCAACTCATATGATTGAAACTGCCTCTCTAACCTCAAGTGTCTATTAATCAATTATGAATGATGAAGTCAAAAGATTTAGGATGACCAAATGTAGATTATTTAGGATGAAATGAACTGTGCTAAAATCCTCCCCCATCTAGATCTGGAGTAACTGCTTTAGTAGTAGGTATCATTAGTCTAGATTTGTCATTTAAACAGATGAATCTTCTCCTAGTAAAAATCAGGGAAACATTTCAATGAACATGAATGAGAGCTAGACAAAGTCCTAACCCAATATACTGAAATACCTGAAGACATGCAATTATTGAGAAATAGATAAATAAAAACACACAGTTCGTATCTCTTTACATGTTCCCTACGTCTAACACTACTACACATTGCCACGCAGGACACGTAAACATTCACTCACTAGTAAGGTGCCTAAAATAATCAATAGACATTTCTTACCTTAGTACCCTTCTTAACATATTTAGCGTTGTCTTTTTCAATGTCATGCCATGATCTTATGGGTAACTTCAATTCATCCCCTACAACCATTCCAGGTCCCTGTGTGGCCGGTCCTCCAATGAACATCATTATACGAGCACCGGTATTAGGAAAAGTGCACTGCAGGTAAAAACAGGGATGAGACTAGTTTTTGTTGTAACAAATTTATATTTATGATAAGTGACACGATGATATATTTATCTCATTGATGGGATTATAATAACAACTGTACTTCCCCACCCCCCAAAGCCTCAAATTTCTATTTATTCAAAGACTCAATCTTGTCAAATTAAAATGAGTATTTAAACATTTACAAATATTGCATGAGATTCATTACAATCACCACACAGATTGAACAGACAAGAATTAAGGGGGTTAAATATTAATTACGACAGATTTTAGGTAGCAAAGTGAACTATTTGCATATTTAGTCAATCATGGTTAACACCATTACCTCAAGAAGCCCTACAGCTATAGAAAGAGCCACTCCAGAGGAACGCAAGGGCCTTTTCCCTTGTGGAACAGGCCATGGATCCCGTTGCAGTTCACCCAGAAGATCAGTAAGATTCATATCAATTTTCTGCACAGGCTGCAAAAACCTGGAAACAAATTGAAGGAACCAGTTTAGATGGGAATTTTTAAATAAACATTATACTGACTGCTCACTAGAACAGCATCCAAGATTCTAGTCTGGATTCAGAGCAGAGTATCTGTCTCACCTAGACAATGCAGTTTTCTAGTACCACATATACAGTGCCCTCAGCTTAAGCAGCTCAG